GGGGGGGGGGGGGGGGGAGGAGGATGATTTATGGTGAATTTGGAGGGACTTTCTCTTCGCAGGTGTCTTACCGTCCGGAATTTACCATTTTTCTGGAGGAATATGAATTAAATGGTGGTGATTTAAACAAGAAGAGAAACTAGGGAATCGAGATTATTATAGTTTTTTGGGAAGAATTCACGTGACGGTTTTCCAGTACTCTATGATTATCTAAAAAAAATGTCTTGTGAATACTCTTGATTCAATGATTCATTTTTAGAAATTCCATAATATTTTTATATCTTTTGATAGTATTCTCGTGTCTTCTTTTTTATAAAAAGAAAATTTGTATTGATTTTAATTGCTTTGAACTCGGTGAATTACATTGATTTATTCGGTTTCACGATGGCTTCCGTCATTACTGTTGAGGATTTGATTTTTTTTGTAATGAGAAATCCCCAACAGGCATGACTATATGAGTACTATTGTGTTCCATTGATTTTTAACCGAAATGAGAAAAAAAACCAGTATCAATAAATTGTATTTTCAGTAATTTTCTTACAAATGTGATTCTCTCCTCAGTTTTTTTTTATAAAAAAATATTTATTCTCCTTACAAATTCATTTGTGGAAACTTATGTACGGTTATGTGTCAAAAATTATATTTTTGGTTGGTGGCACTAGTTACCGAGATTTGCAGCAATTTCTTTTTTTTTTTTTTTCGAGAAGTTGATGAGATTAGTAGGGGCCACCAGGACCGCCACTCTGCGGCGGTCCATAGCTGTCTTGAGGAGGAGATGGTGGTCCGTAACTTCCGCCTTGTTCTTTCTGAAAAATTATGAGAAAAATTTCATTAATTTCTCGGTTTTTGGGGACTGCGAAGTAGTTTTCGCCGATATTTCGACTATTAGTCACTCATTTTTTCACCATTTTTTTTTCACCTCTCCTTGAATCCTAATTTTTTTTACGTCACGCCGTACAGTAGCTCGCGATAAACTCGACTTCTGCATGGTGTAACGTAAAATATTATAGATCACTCGGGCATGAACTTCGCTTTCAACGAATGTGGGTGGAGACCACGTCTTCGTCTGGGCCTGCCAACTTCACATTCGTCGAAAACGAAATTTGTGCCCTTGTACACTAATGTACCATTTCATCACACTGACTGTAAAATATCATTTTACGGACACTTCGTGTTCGTCAAACGCCGTTCACGGACTTTGTGAAGATATAGTAGGGGAGGGTGGGGCAAAACGGCCCCCCTTCAATTGTCAATAACTTGTGAATGACATTGTGAAAATTCCCAGTTTCAACTTCATTTTGAAGATAATTTTTCATTCTTCAAAACGAGCTCTAACTCATCCCAATCGGATTATTGAATCGGAAAATATTGACGATTGAAGGGGGGCCGTTTTGCCCCATCCTCCCCTATATTTCGTTACGAGTGCGGAAAAGTGTTTTTTGGCTCGTGGGAGGTTTATAGCATGAGCTGAAGGGGAGTGATATAATTCCACGAGCCAAAAAACACTTTTCCCACGAGTATCAAACGATATTTTTCATCACAATGTGTGGAAAAGGGACGTTTTAGGCACGAAACGTGCCTAAAAAGTTACTTTTTCGCACAGCGTGATGAAAAATTATGTTTGTTACTTCGCCGAAATAGTATATTTCGTAACGAGTGCAAAAAAGTGTTTTTTGGCGAGTGGGAGGTTCATATCACGAGCCGAAGGTGAGTGATATAATCCCACGAGCTAAAAAACATTTTTTCACGAGTTACGAACAATATTTTTCATCACAATGTGGCGGAAAGTTGACTTTTAGGCACGCGGAGCGTGCCAAAAAGTTCACTTTTCGTCACAGCGTGATGAAAAAAACTTTTCTGATAAGTGCGAGGGTTTCAGACCGAGACGAAGCCGACGAATGCAATCACATGAATCAGAAATGTTTGGAGACGCCTATTGGAGACGCCTATTGGAGACGCCTTAAACGGCTGCGAAGCCTGTTGGGCATCGTCTGCACTAAGAAAAATGGCCGTCCGATGATTTATCGTTGGCGCTTCATTCAATTACTTTACAAATCCTCAAGTTCCTCTAAAAAATGACAAAATGGGGACTTCGAGTACAACAATAAAAAGCAATGCAGTAATTAATGAGTCGAAGAGGAACTACTACTGTCAACTACAATGTACGGGTTTGAACAAGTTTGAATGGGTAAGCCATCGGTCGTCCATGTTATCATGGCGATCACCGGGCCGCCATCGGTAAATAACGGTCCCAATTGAACATAGGAGTAGCATAGGAAACCACAGGAAACCTATGCCGGTACAGACGGTTCCTCTATTACCAATCTCCCGTTCGCGGGAGCCTAAGGTTGAAAAATTCCCCGAGTGGGATTCGGTTCCCCTTGAGATCGAACTCAACCGTTCGCACAGTAGACTTGCGTCTACTTTGAGAAAAAAAATTTCTAATGTCTGAAACATATTTTCTTGAGAGAAGTAAATGATTTTCAATGGCTTAAATCTCAGAATGTGTGAACTTCACGGAACTCGAATAAATTTTCATTCATCACTGTCGTTCCGCGTTGCCTCATGAATATTTTACATATTGCAATATTGGAAGTGCATAACGAAAAAATCATGAAAACAATAAAGACTAGAAGATTGACGATTCTTCTACGCGATTTAAGGATGTTCTACACCCTTTCTGCCAAAATTCACGTTTTTTTAATTTTTCTGGCAAACTTATGATGGAATTGACGTGAAAAAATATAACGTTTTTGCGTTTTGTCATTATTTAATGACTGACGAAATTTTAAGGTGGTGCGAACATTTTCCTGCGTTTTCTCTAAACTTTTAAAAAGAATCACAAATGTAGAAAAAACGCATGAAAATTATCGCACCACTACGCAACTTCGTGAGCCATTAAAGAATGACAAACCACAAAATCGTTATATTTTTTCACGTCACTCCCATCGATAATTTGCCAGAAAAATGAAAACAACGTCAATTTTGGCTAAAAGGGTGTCGAACATCCTTAAGTAAGTTCATTTGCGACAAAATCATGCTTGAGTACAAGAATATTTTAAAGCATGAGGCCTTTCTCGGGTCATGTGAGTTGAGATGTCTGCGAGAATTAAGCAATTGAAGAAAATTTACTTGTCTCAGGAAAATATGTTTCAGATATTAGAAAAATTTTTTCTCAGTGTAATCGACTCGGCTGCCAACATCGGTTGCTAATAATTTGTTTTCCCTTACCTGAGTTTTGTATCGAATGAAGTAAACTTCCGGTTTGCTCGGTTGCGTCGGCGCCTGCGTCGGCAGAGTGACCTCTGGTGCCTCTTCGGGTTTCTTCACAAGAACATAAATGAGCGTTTTCTGCTCATCCTGGGGTGGCAGAGGCGGTAGAACAGGTGCAGTTGGAGTAGGTGGAGTTGGCGCCTTGATGAAGACAATTTTGTAGTGCTTCTGGGGGGCAGCTGGTGGTGGGAGATACTTTGGTGGTTTGTACTCTGGTGCCTCGGGTGGTGGTACGTGAACGTAGACGTGTTTGTGAATGACTGAGGGCCGCTGGGGAGGTCCGTAGGTGTCCACTGGGCCTGACGGATAGCCACCACCGCCACCACCACCTCCGGAGGACGGAGGGAAGTAGGAGTCCACTGGGGGCTCTGGGGCGGGTTTCGCCCAGGCGCAGGCCACTGTTGATACCACGAGCATCAACTGAAGAAGAAAATAGGAGGAAAAATATGAAGAGATGGAAGATATCGGGAATAATTATTTTCGGGGAACTACTCTCAACTTTAATCACCCGAAGGTGCTGAAGACCAAAAGAAAAAATGTATCAATGCACGAAGATGCTGAGGGGATCAACATCATGTCCCTTCAACCTGTCCTCACACGTCTCCCAACAAAAGCTCATTCTCAAAATCAACTCAAGATTTAATTCTACCCAATTTACCCATCGTAAACCTCTCAATTACGCACTCAATACTTTAAAACGGCGTGTAAATCATGGAAAGCAACATAAACTCTTTACGACCACCGTTAAATAGTTTGCTAATGACTTCTCCCATTATTTTTCCTCATCACTGAATAAATGAAGATGACACACGAGTGCGATTCAATTTCAACGCTTTCGCTACCTCTATTATTACTGTCTCACATTTTTTTTTCTCAGTGCACCTAGCATAATAATTAAACCAGTCTCTCTCGTCTCTCGGTGCTGCACTAATTACTTCCGCTAGAAAGCATACACTGGATTGAGAGATATCAAGCCCTCTGTGTGCACAATGGCATCGGGATGAACGAGATTTCTCAGTGAAAAAAAAAGGATCGCGATTTTTGCACTCGAGAAATTGACAAATCACTCGGAAAAATTGAGGAAAATCATTTTCGATGGGGACACTTACAACAAGCCCTCGCATTGTGATGAGTATAATTGGGGTATCCACTGGGCACAATGGAAAAATGTCACAAATAAGTTGGAGTTATTTATTAAACTGTTGCACTTTGGATTTTCACTGTCAGGCGATCACGACGGTTATGCCCGTATTGCGGTTGTTCTGGCAACTTTTATACCACCCAGAGTGTGAGAAGGCCCCCGAATAGACCTCGTGGTTAAATTGTGTACGTGATGGTATATGGAGTGCACCTTCCCTTCATTTCCCCGACGGGTACTCGTCTCTTTCTTCGGTGATTTTTTTAAAGGCTTCTTCCCCACCTATTCAAGTATATAAATCACGTACGTATGTACATGGATAAGTGCTCTATGTGTACGGTGGGACGACCGTTGGTAGTGGAGCTGGTGCAATTCCCGAGTGGTGTACGCTGCTTGGAAAATTATGGTGGTCTTAATTTTTGGTGAAAGAAATCCAAAGTGGTCTACATAACGTAATGGATTATTTTGTTATGTAAAGAGTAGGGGAATTTTGTAATTCTAGGGGGGGTCTGGAATTATGGAATTAACCCGGGGAATTTGATTTCTTTGTGCAGCGTTTTCTATTGAAATATTTTCTATAGAAATTCCTTGACCTAGTTTTTCAAGTTTTTTGATTCCGAATGGAAGCTCTGTAATCGTTCAAATTTAAGTTTTGGATTTTCATGTATGAAATTTTTAAACCTCGTCCGTACGCATGTGTATGTGCACGTATGTAACAAAGTTTTTCTTCAATTGTTCGCTGATGAATGGATGGAATTGAATCTTTTTTTTTTAATGTAGATATTGTTGAGTCCTATCGATTGCCATTAATCAAAATTTAATTCATAGATTAGCTTTTTTAATTTTCGATTTTTTTCGAAAATCGGTTGTCCCACGATAACTGAAAAAAATAGTTTGGATGTCCTTTTAACCGATTTCGAAGATGAAGATGATAGCAATGATCGTTATTTTGATTTATTTGAAAATTTGCAAAAATTTTTTTTTTTTGAAAATCAGAATTCCGGGGATATTTTTGAAAATCGTGCTTCAAATGAATTCAATCATAGCTTAAAATGTTTGTTTTAATGCCGTTAAATCAAAGTTAGATGATGACGATAACAATATTGGTTGATTTGATTTTTTTGATGATTGTTGAAAATTTCGAATTTTTCATGAATTTCGCTGAAAGTAAGCTTTCGGATGGTTTCTTCAAATGTGATGTTTCAAATTCATTCAAATATGTATAAATAAAATGTTTCTATCATCATTTTATGGAAAGGCTGAGGGGAGAGATAGAACTGTAAAAAAACAATCGGTTTTATTCAAGAAAGGGATGATAAGAATAATGATGATGATAACATTCAACTAAGTTGAAAGTCTGGCCTAATTGTTTAAAAAGAAATCGTATTTAATTTAATAAAATGAAATAATGAATTCAGTAGCGAAGCGGTAAACCGGGTCAAGTTGATTTTGACTATTGGCCAGTTTTTGACGAATATCTCGGAATCTAAAAGAGATAGAAAAATTTTTGTCATGACCTTTCTATAGCTCTTAATTGGTTCTACAAAAAAGGTCATGAGAAAAATTTTGCTATCTCTCTTAGGTTCTGAGATATTCATCAAAAACTGATCAAAAGTCAAAATCGACTTAACTCGGTTTACCGCTTCACTACTGAATTATACACGATAAAAGGAAATGATTTGGAAAGTAACCATTCGGAAGCACATTGCTAATTTATTAGCAAAAATACACTATATGAAATACAAGAGAATTTTCCACTTGTTTTTTTTTTTTTTTAAAGAACAGAGAAGAAAAATAGAGCGGAAAAAGTTTGAAAAATTCACGTTGAGGAATTCGTATAGAAAATGTCTGAATAGACAAAATTGCATAAAAAGATGAAATTCTACTGATTTTGTTCTATACTAGGGGGCTCCGCCCCCCTCCCGCTCACTTCGCTCGCTCCCCCCCCCCCAATCTTCTAAGGTATGTTTAGGTGTGAGTATTTTATAGAAAAACAATTGATAGAATGATTGACCTCCTTTGAAAAATTGAGATATTTATTATTTACAAAAGGCGGTTGGTGCCTTTTGTCGTTAGACTCGACCATTCATTTTTCCATTTATTTACGTAGAACAGTATGACGTATACTATCATTACTGTCTTTTTAGAAATTTGACCTTCATATGAATCTATAGAAATATGAATATTTTAGAGAAATAGAGATTGAATTTATTCTCAATGGCATCATCAATGTCACAGATAAGGGTCAAAATCAGGGGTTTCCTGAATTTTTAACTCTTCCTATTTTTTTTATTATATAGAGAGAAAATAGTTTCCATTGGATGAGAGGAAAAAGAAAGGAGGGGAGGCAGGCTAGAGGAGGTGTTTCAAATCGAGAATTACTTCGATAAAACCACTGAAATAGAAAAAATAAAAAAACTAAATAGTTTCCATTGGATATTCTCTACAGAGAAAAAAGCACAGTAAAATTATGGAATTTGGAATAAGAACCCATTATAAGCACTCTCATTTAATCATTCCATTGAAATAAAATACGTCTTGCACTACCCTCATCATTAACTTCTTCACCTTGAGACTCCCCACATTTGGTCACATGTCCTCGAACACTCGTTCACAACTTCCAATACACCTTTCTATGTTTTGTAACTCGCCGAAAAAAAAATTCCTGAAATTCCCGAAATGAGAAAAAACAATCGCAATAAAAAGAACCATTAACTTTCTATTAAAAAGTTGAAAAAAATGTTGCAAAAAGTGAGAAGAATATTGATACAAAAAAAACATTCACATTTACTGTGAACTGTTTTCGACTCTCGAGTGAAATCTTTTGGGGGCAATTAGTGTATAACTCACCGTGGAATTTCGAAAGGAAGGCACATGTAGCGACTTTTATGACCAAGAAGAGCATGCGTTACACGGTGCAGGAGGGGTGGCAGAGGGGGGGGGGGGAGGGAGAAGAAATATTTCTCCGCATTTTTTTATCCGCTGAATTTGGTTTTTTATTGATAGTAATAACAGATTATCGGACTTTCTTTTTTTTGGAAATTTTTTCGTGATAAACTGTCGACGCCATGTTGAATCATCACCAATTGAGGGAGGGGATGCGATATATGGAGCATGTGGAATATGTTGTAAAACGTTTTCATGATTCTAGACACACCAGAAAGTGAAGGTAAATAGTCACTGCTTCCTTCTTGGATAATTTATATAATTATGAAAAAATATGACTACGTTAATGTGAATTTGTTCGTAAAATTATTCAATTACGAGGAGTAATTGTAATAGGGAGACTTGTGGGGGAGGAGGTAATTATAGTTAATTCTCGCATTAGGCGAAAGCCGATTTTTATGTTTGAAAAATTGATGATTTTTTTTTCTTTTTTTTAATTGTTCAATTAGTCGAGTAAAAATGTACGCGACTAATTATCACATATTTCTCATATTTCTGATACATAATACAATTTTGTAACGGAATTAAAACGGTATAATGAGGCATAAATAATCTAAGGGTTCGTATGGTCGTATATATCGGGAGGGGGAGGGAGGCGCTTATATATAATATACCCTCATATACATATGATAAAGAGTGCCGTTATATAAGGGATACCCATCGATAGGGGGTACCAATGTAGGGGGGAATACCCATATATTGAAGGGCGGATTAACTGTCAAAATGACAAACGTCAATGTTAGCATAAAAAAATTCGCCATGAGGGGAGCCCCCCTCCGGATTGACGAGCGGAGCGAGCACGGGGCGAAGCCCCCTAGTTTAACCCTCGATCACTCGCTTAAGGAGCGCGGTGCCGCCCGTTTTCGATTTTTTATATTTTAGCGTGTATCTCAACGCTAAAAAATTCTGCAAAAAATAGAGCTCCTAGTCCTGCTTTTATTAAGTGTTGGCGTTGTCCGTTTTTTTCTCGGGAAATTTGTTTAGCTAAAAAAAGAGCAGAAACATCGGGCGGACAGAAAAGCGGCGCCGCGCCGCCCGGTGCGTGTGGGTCTCTGTCTAGCCCTCGAGCGACAGTGTTGCTACATTCACTGCTGCACTTGAAATGCACGCGTAGTGGTAAGCGCCAAGGTGGCAACAGCGCGCTCGGTTTAAGCCAGTGGCGCTGCGCTAACCGTGCGACGGATGAAGATTTCTTCTTCTGATCGTTTTGATTATATCTGTTATTAATGTTAAAAGAAAATAATTAATGGTTTGACGCTTCAAAGCAATGAAACAGTCATTAAAACACTATTGAATACATGAAAAAATCAGCCTTGAAGCGACTTTTATCGTCCACCAAAATAAAAATATTATTATTGTCAAGTTTGAAAGAAGATCCAATTGTTGTGCATCCCATTCCGAGATATTGCCAAACGTTCGAACAATTACATCGTTGGAGTCATCAAAGAAAAAAAAGTCTTCATAAAAGGCAGTCATTTTTTTCCTAGCCAATAAAAGGGGAAGAGTGCTTCACTCAACTCAAAGGTGATTAAGAAGCCATGTAAATTGTGCATTCAAGTGAAGGAGAGGATTGAACACATCTGTCTAAAATGGTTTCTCACTTCCTGGAAGTTGGGAATTTTTTCCTCTCGATTCCCTTTGACGTTCAATTTGTTAACTTTTTTTTCTCTTCTTTCTGGTGTCAGCCATGTTGAAAAGAGGAATGATCAGGGGAAGAAGTAGAAACAGGATACCCTCTTGCAGTGGATTGACTCGTGAGTGGCAGGCGAAAATAAACTGGACAGTTGGAAAATTTATTGCATCGCGGTATTAACTTGGGTTATATATTCATCAACAATGGAGGGATTCAGGTGCAACTGTGCGATGAGATTTTTACCTTTGATAGAAACGTTAACGCCAAGTACTGGGCTAATTAACGTCGGGGGATTTGATTTTTTTTCTCTTTACGAGAGGATTTGCAAATACTGGAGTTTTTTCATATTTTATATAGATTTTTTATGCAATTTTCAGGGTACAATGGACGAGAGTAGCGCGAAAATAATCATCCATTCATTTTTACTTTTTATTAATCATTACATCAGGTCGATTGTTGAGGCACTATTATAAGATAATTATCATTTTTAAGCTGCTAGTATAATACTAAAAATGTAATGAATCTTCATACAACTGAAGAATCATCATCACTTCCTCAATACAAATCTTATGACTAGATTCAATCT